ACAAACAAACAAAACCTCCACCAAATTTTAAAAGGGGAGGGGTAGGAAAAGTAATACTGGCATACCCATTAAAATCCATGGTTAGCTGCTTCATATGGAGGATTGATCATCTTACCTGGGCAGGTGATTATTTTTATTGAGCATTTAAAGAACACGAGTCAGTGTTTCAATTAGTGTTTTACACTTCTAGAGGTTTCCTGTTGGAGATCATTGAAGTGGAAGCAGGGATGGCCATAGTGGACAGACAGATAGACAGACAGAGGCACGGAAACTGTGACTATGCCTTACAAAGCTTTCTGGATACAGGGTCTCCTCCATATGCAGCCCAGGCATGCTTGAATTTTCAACCCTCCTGCTCCAGCGTTCCAAGTGCTGGGATTACCGGCATGCACCAGCATATCTGGCCAGTGGAGTTCTTTTTTTTTTTGGGGGGGTATAATACCTACAGTGGAGGCTGGAGAGACAGCTCAGTGGCTAAAGATGAACCATACTCTTGGAGAGAACTGGAGTTGAGTTCCCAGCACCCACATCAGGACATAACCACATGTAACTCCAGATTCAGAGAATACGGCACCCTCTTCTTGCCTCCTCTGACACTGGCACCTACACTCACGAGGACACACCCACCTAGACATGAATATACACCTAATTCCAGATGAATGAATGAATGAATGAATGAATAGAAAAGTAATACAAAAATTTATGATGCCTAAAATGGCATCTAGGATGTACTAAAGATAATGTCAGCTGCAGGAATGATGGTGGTGATAGTGATGATGGTGGTGGTGGTGATGATGATGGTGGTGGTGATGGTATTGGTGTTGATGTTGGTGGTGATGGTGGTGGTAGTGATGATGGTGATGGTGTTGGTGTTGATGTTGGTGATGAGGATGGTGGTGATGATGATGATGGTGGTGATGATGGTGATGATGGTGATGATGGTAGTCATGGTGGTACATTCAGAGTGCTATAGGATATACCCAAGGCTGTTCTCAGAGAAGTTTCCTTCAGGAGATAAGACCTAAACACAAGCATGCAGAGCCTGAATTTAAGCTGAGAAGCAGGGTCCTTTGGGTTGAGAAAATGGCTTTACAAGGGCCCTGGGCTCTACACAGAACCTTTTTTTTTTTTTTCCTGAGCGTTCAGTGTGGTTGGGTCTAGCTTGTGTTGAATGAAAGATGGGACAAGTTACAAAGAAATGGGGTCAGGGAAGAGGTTACCAGGGGCTACGTCAGGAAGGCCTTGGAATCATACTGTGGGGGCTATGGTTGGTTTTGGAAGAAAAATCTTTGGGGCTGGAACCAACTCTGAGACATCTTTGCCTCTTCAATTTTCTTTCCTCCTGTTTAGTCAGGATCCCAGGTGCTAGTCACCAGACCAGAAAATAGGCAAAAGTTTTGGTGGCTGGGGGAGAGAAAACAGCCACTGGGATTGCAGGAGGGGTTTGGGGTAGGGGGGAGAAGGGAGGGAGGCTGAGAAGGGAGACCTGGGATTTCTTGGGTTGGGTTGGGTTAGTTTTGAGACAGAGTTTCTCTGTGTAACTGCCCTGACTGCCCTGGAACTTGCTTTGTAGACCAGCCTGGCCTCGAACTCACAAGGATCCTCCTGCCTCCACTTCCCGACTGCTGGGATTAAAAGCATGCCATGCCCGGCAGAGATGAGTTTTCTGAAGAGTAAATACTGTCTGTGGGGTCTGTTGCAGACTGGCTAATTCTGCAAGTGCCGTATGCTGCGGTGTTCGAGGGAGAGCCCCTGGTGATGCGCTGCCGTGGCTGGTACGACAAAGTCGTCTACAAGCTTCACTACTACCACGATGGCCAGGCTGTGAGATACTTCCATTCCAGCACCAACTACACGGTGTTGCAAGCGCGAGCCAGTGACAGCGGTCACTACCAGTGCTCAGGCACCATGCGCATCCCGGTGGAGAGTGCGCCCATGTTCTCCTCCAAGGTGGCCGTGACCGTGCAAGGTGGGGGAGACGATCACGGGGAAATTCTAGGGCTGGAATCGGAAAGGGAAAGCGGAGGTTGAGCTCTGCAGGCTGCTCTGTGGGTGTCCCTTTCCTGCGGCGTGCATACAGATTTCTTGTTCTAGCTAGAGATCCCACTTAGGAGCAAGTTCTTGCCCCATCTGAAGAGCGTGCAACCGTCACTACGTAGGGGAACTGTAGCTGTCTGTCCCCTTCAAGTCTAGAGAATGCCAACTGATTGACAGCTAGGATGTAACTTGTAGCACCTGTCAGATTTCCGCCTCCTTCAAACTGTCTCCATCCTCCCCCACACACACCCACCCCTCCCCGTGGCCTCAGTTTCCCCGTCCCACTCCTCTTTCTCCTATCCCTTCTTGTTCTCTGGGTCAGAGAGGAGCCCTCTCCGGATAAGGGAAAGAGGGATCCGGGACGGTGGACAGGTTGGCCCTGGTGGGGGTACCATTCCTCTTGCGGACCCTATGAGCATCACGCCGCCCTCCCCGCAGAGCTGTTCCAGACGCCGGTGCTGAGGACGCTGAGCCCGCAGGAGGCGCGGGGCCGCGTGGTGCTGCGCTGCGAGACGCGCCTGCACCCGCAGAAGCGGGACACGCCGCTGCAGTTCGCCTTCTACAAGTACAGCCGGCCGGTGCGCCGCTTCGACTGGGGCGCCGACTACACAGTCCCCGAGCCCGAGGTCGAGGAGCTCGAATCGTACTGGTGTGAGGCGGCCACCACCACCCGGAGTGTCCGGAAACGCAGCCCGTGGCTGCAGCTCCCTGGGCGGGGTGAGTGACAGCTCAGCATGGCGAGTACCCTGTCCTCTGCATCCCCTGGGTCCTCCCGCAGTCTCCTCTCCTTCCCATTTCGGTCCTCCAGCCCCTGTTAGCTCCCGGCCCGCATGTATGAGTCACGGGTGACCAGGCGTGTTGCGTTGCAGGCTCTGTCCTGGATCTGGCGTCCACCACCGCGCCAGCCCCACAGGCTGCAGCCTTGGCGCCTGGGGACAAGCCCCTTTCCTTCCGGAAGACCCCAGTGTCCAGATCCGTCCCGTCAGTCACTTCCGTCCCGAACAGCACCTTTGCGGGGTTGCAGTTCCCCGCGGGCCAGGTCGCCACCGCCGGGCCACACGCCTGCGCGCCTCTGCCCACGTCCGCGGACCAGTCTCGCGAAGCTCTGCAGCCCAAGGTGGACCTCCTGCTTCGCGAGATGCAGCTGCTCAAAGGCCTTCTGAGCCGCGTGGTCATGGGGTTAAAGGACGCGCAGGCCCTCCACGAGCTTACAGAGACCCCCGAGACACCCAATTCTCAGGTTACTGTGAGCCCCGCAAACCCAGAGACTGCTGTCGTGGAAGGCCACGTGGATAGCTAGGGTAGTGTCTTCACTCCAGGGTGGTTCCTCCTGGATCTTCCCTGCCCTGTCTAGCTTGTGTGCAAATCAGAGCAACTGGTAGTGTTCCCTCGTGTTGCTGTGCTTTGTTTTTTGTTTTTTCGGTTTTTGGTTGGTTTTTAAAGAAATGACCCTGAAGTGTGGTGCTGTGGACTTCCACTTTACTAGACAGCTTGTAAGCGTGTTTGAGAGTGCAAGCATCCTCTGTGATGTGTTCCTTCTCCTATAATCCAGAAGTAGACAGCTGTTGTTTACTAGTCCAGTGTGGGTGACTTTTTTTTTTAATGAATCCATTAAGTTAACAAGCACTTTAGAACAATTTAAGGTCAGGTTGTAATTATTCACAATGAATTTACTCTTATATTAAAACAACTTTCAAAATCCTATTAACTAACGAGTTTATATCTTCAAAATCCTGAGAATGATTTCAATTGTAGGAAAGACGTTAGTGTGGGCTTCTCCCCTCTGGCTTTAAGGGTCAGATTCTGTGCCAGATTCACTCCAGAGACACCCTTTGTCCCCATGTGAGCAGACAGAGCCACTCCAGAGCAGCTGAGAAGCTGCCATATTAACCTTAGCGGAACTAACCTTACTGTATTTCAGGATCACACTGTCCTCAGTTAAGCTTCACAGTTAGGCTGAGTATCAACTCTATCTACCCTTCCATCCTTCAGCCTGCTTGATAGATTCAGTAGCACGTCAGTTCCCACTTCCCTCTGAGCAATTAACCACAGCTGACATGCCTTTACATTTTATTGAGTGTTATTTAGTGTGTGTGTGTGTGTGTGTTTGCCCAAGAGTATCCACTTCCCTTGTGGAGGTCAAAGGACACTTGGCTAATTCTGAGAAGGGACATTCAGATCACCAGATTAGTTACCTGATCTACGGTGTCCTTAAGGTTCCAATTCCCAACTCTAATGCAGGCACCTCCACGGCAGCCTTTCCAGTGTCCAGGTTCTTTTTCCCTTCTGACTTTTCCCCCTAAGTTGTTCACCATTCCTGATCTAGACAGGAAGCAGCTACCGTCAGTGCCAAGCTTAGTAATCAAAATACCCAGGCCATCCAATGATGATGATAATGTTGACGACAACGATATATAATTTTTAATGTTCTGGGCATGGGGGTCATTGCCTTAAATCCCAGGGAGGCAGACGCAGACAGATCTCTGTGAGTTCAAGCCCAGCCTAGTCTACATAGTGAGATTGTGTCTCAAAACAAACAAAACAAGAAAGAAAGAAAGAAAGAAAGAAAGAAAGAAAGAAAGAAAGAAAGGAAGGAAGGAAGGAAGGAAGGGAGGAAGAAAGAGAGGAAGGAAGGGGGAGAGAGAGAGAGAGAGAGAAAGAAGAAGAAGAAGAAGAAGAAGAAGAAGAAGAAGAAGAAGAAGAAGAAGAAGAAGAAGAGGAGGAAGAAGAAGGGAAAAAACCCACCACCACCATAACAAATGAAATGAGCTGATCAGAGGCCAGCACTCCAGCCTCTCCTTCAGTATACTTTGTCAGTAATCTTCATTTTCCCATCTTGCCATCTGCCTCCATTTAGCGTTAGTGATGGAGGCAGTAAAGAGGATGGAGAACTATTTTGGCAAAATTTAATTACAGCCCAACTTACCCTGTGTGGAAGAGGAAAACTGTAAGCCATGTTCAAG